TGGCCTTCATCTCGTCGTCGGAGCCGTCGACGGAGAAAATGGTGCGAAGAGGGAGTTTCAGCCGAACGCCCGTCAAAGGGATGCCGCAGACGAGCGCTGGGCAGCAGTCGAAGCACTCGACGTTCGGAAAGGCGCGCAAACGCATGGAAGACCAGTTCCGCTTCGTGTTCGGCAAAAATAAGTCCAAACACGGCTCCTTCGAGGACACGCCGGACCTCTCGCGCCGAAACTCGTTCGACTTCGAGCGGACGGGCGCTGACGGCGACGTCGTTCTGATCCGAGAGTCGCGTCTCGTGTCGCTGCCGGCCGTCAGAGACGGAATGATTCGCTTCCAGTTCGTGAGTATTGTATTGTTTTATTAGGCAATTGACGTCACAACTGATTATCACTTTTGGACAGCTGTTGGAGTCGTGCTCTCCGGGAACGCTTCCCGACGCGCCGCTCATCGCCGCGATGCTCGACATCCGGTTAGACTTGTTTTCATTTACATAACACACACTAAACACTGAATCAAACGAGACATACAGTCAACACTCGCTATATTGTATACTTTTAGAGCGCCGGTGGTCGCGAGGGCCTCCTTCTACCTCGAGTGCGCGCATTTCGTGCACCGCTGTAACCGCGGACTGTGGCCGCTGTGGATGCGCCACAACTTCAACCTCTTCCGGCCGTCGGGTCCGATGCGCGCCGGCTCGCAGTCGGCCATCAAAGGCCGCGCCTCGAATGTCGTGCAGCGGTCGGCCGGTCGCGCCTTCTACCAGTGGGCGGAGATGTTGGGCGCGAGACTCGAGGAGTTGCTGCAGAACGACATCAACACCGAGAAGTCGGCGCCCAATATGACGGACGACAGCAAACGGCGACAACTGAAGTACGACGACGAGGACGAGGACTTCCTCGACGAGGCGTTCGTCAACGCGACCGGAAATGAGTGTCCCTTCGCTCTGAAACTCGTCGCGTGTCAGCTGTTGTACGAAATCACGGCTTTTCTGCGCGAAACGCATCAGTATTTGCCGTCCCGAAGCTCGCGGTCGTCCATCCGAGAGCGCGGATCCACTTTCGAGCCCAAGACTGTGACCGCCAACCGGCGCTGGTCTATGGCTTTGAGTGAGTCCTGGAGTTTGAATCATTTGATTGTCATTAGTGTGCAAAGAGTTGAGAGGTTTCTATGTTTTCCAATACAGTACTGCTGTATAAATAACGAAGTGTTGACTTAACGTTAAATTTGTGGACATTTTATGCTTAAAGTTGAGATTCCGTTACTTTAAAAGCAATCAATTTATAGATTAGAATATAATTTATTCGTTAGAAATAACTTAAAACTCCATTTAATTAAACAAAGCATAAACTTTTCTATTATAAACTACTTTTTCAAAAATTCATTACAGAATTATAGAATTACAGAATATTCTGTTAGTTTAAATATGTGAATCTTGGAAATTATAGGTTTAGACTCGTCTACAGTAGAGTCAAGATTCCTATACTATAATACAGAACCGTTAATTTAAATACAAAAATATTGTACTCCTTTGCACACAAATATAAACCACTTTTCAATAGAATATTCTTTTAGTCTAAATGACCACAAATTCTGTGATGTTTTGCAACCAATTCCACGCTTTTCTTCCTCAGCCAATATGGCGCCGATGGACGGCTTCAGTCACGCGCAGAGTTTGGGCGATCGGAGGATCAGTTTCGTTCTGCAAGAAGCCGATGGCGAGGAAGAGTCCACGAGTAGTATCTCTGCGGCCGACGACCTCATGGCCGCCGGCGCCCTTGACAAGAAGCGTCTGTCTCAGGCGGGACTGGCGGGTCGGCCGCATCTGTTGCGGCGGTCGACGGGTGGCAGCGGTCACGGGAGCTTCAAGAGGAGGTCCATAAAGCTGAAGAAGGGTTCGGACCGCAAGAGTGCGGCCAAACACCGGTCGTCCACTTTGGTGGAGGACGACGACAACGACGCCCAAAAGCATTCCATTCTTCGGCGCTCCGACTCTTTGCGGTCGCGACGCAAAGTCAGCGGAATCTCCGAGCGCTCCGACACTTCGGAACGCGTGTCAGGTATTGCCCTTTCGTTGCCCTAATTCTCGACGAATAAGTGTTCGGCGTTTTAGGCGACGAATCGCCGGGAGTTCTGTCCGACGACGGACTCACGGCCGACACTCCGAGCGACGCCATGGAAACGGACGACTCGGAGATGACGTCAAACATCCCGTGGCTGAAGATCATGTCCACAATGGCGGCCACTCTGTCGTTCCAATGCCCGCATCAGCAGTACTGTCAGCACAACTGCTACCGGCGCCAAATGAGAAGCGCCTCCCGTCTCATGAAAGCCGTGCAGAAGGTCTACTCCGAGGGCGAGGACTCCGGGCGCCCGCAACTCGTGTCTCTCCGCATCTTCGAGTGCAGAGTGAGTCAAACGTTTGAAACTATTATTTCATTTACAAAATGAATACAAAAGAGGTATCAGAAGAGTCTGAAAGTTAGTTATAACTGTGTTGTCAACACTTTTTCGGGATTGGAGGACAGAAAGGAAAATCAGACGTTTTTCTGGAGGAGATTTGGAGGAGAAAAATGTATAGTTTTAAGCAAATGTAGAGCTGAGGTCTTAAACTAATGTTATCTTAAAAGTGATCTACAGATAGAGTTGAAGCTGAGATCGTCAAGAACATGACTTTTAGTAAAAGTAATTAAATAATTTGAATTTATACAGACATAATTGATAATTTAATAATAGATTATCAGTAGATAAAGAATTTATAGTCACAAATATCATTACAATTTTTCATGATTTTATAATCACCTGTTAATATTAAAACTGAAGTGAAAAACAGATATGAATTCTTGCGTTTCTAAGAAAACCAAAACCTATTCACTCATTGTATTTGTTGGTGTAGTTATGGTATAAGGTTTTATGTATTCACTCACAATGGAGACTATTTTGATCATAACGGCAATTCAATATGAACCTATGCTTAAAACTATCCTGATAATATATATAATTTTATAAAAATAGTCACTTGGGCTTATACTAAGGTTTGGATCACTTTTGGGCAAGGAAAGTTTAGTGTATATCGCTATTGATATCAAATACAAATGTATGTGGTCTATGATCAGTGATTCGCATCCCTAAAAGTTACCCAAACCTTAGTATAAGCCCAATTGACTATTTTTATAAAATTATATATATTATCAGGATAGTTTTAAGCATATGTTCATATTGAATTGCCGTTATGATCAAAATAGTCTCAATTGTCAGTATTCAAATACAGTAACTTATGATTTCATATTCAAATACTATGTGAACTGAAAATCAATCACTTTCTAAAGTCAAAAAGTTCATGGCTCATTTCAAAGTTATAATTGACGTGTCATGAAAATGGCCAGGCTGGCTTATTTGGGAACAGTATATGACTTTTACAGAGTTTTCTAAAGTTTCAAAAGCTCTTCACTTAAAAAAGTATACAACTCTGAGTCAGACTATTAGCCAATGAAATGCATGCAAACACAACACATATACAGTGAACACTCGCTATAGAGAACAGAAAAGTTTATTTGTATTGATTGTCATGACTACGACTCGTCGGTGACAGGAGGACGCGGCGAAGAAGGAGAAGAAGCTGAAGAAGATCGTGACGGGCCCGTCGTCGCCCATCCGCCGCAAGATCTCCGTCGGCCACAACATGGAGCGCGCGGTCGACTCTCACGGCCACTCCGTCCACTCGTCGACTACTTATTTGGCGCATAACGTGGACGTGGAGGCCGGTCCGCACGAAGCGGAGGACCCGCGCCGCACGTTCGTCGAAGTGGCCAATCAGAAGGCGCTCATACGGCGCGAGGAGAACCCGACGCTCAAGTTACTTATTTGGCGCATAACGTGGACGTGGAGGCCGGTCCGCACGAAGCGGAGGACCCGCGCCGCACGTTCGTCGAAGTGGCCAATCAGAAGGCGCTCATACGGCGCGAGGAGAACCCGACGCTCAAGTACGCGCACCTACACGTCAAGAGTCCGTTCGGAGCGCCGCTCTCAATGGTGTTGAAGGGGGCGCTCATTCTGCCGACGCCCGACTTCGAGGAACTCCTGTCGTTGGCCTGGAATCTGGTCTCCGAAGCGGACCAGGAGTTGAGTGCTTGCGCGTCGGCGGCGCTCATCGTCTGCGCCCTGAAGTGCCCGCAACTCGTGAGCGATCTCTTGGAGCGGGAGTTGAGTGACGAGAGGGCACAGCGAAGGACGACAGCCATCGAGAAGTTCTACAAGATTTGGAGCAATCGCTTCCAGTGTTGGCCGCGTCTGGAAGAGGGCGCGCACCTGTATCTGAAAGTGCCGCCGCCGGCCATCGAGTTCACGCTTCCGTCGCCGCGGATCGCGTTGGAGTCGATTCCGGTCGTGGATCCGGCGTATATGCCGGTCACCAAAAGCAAGGTCGAGGAGGTGACGATCAGTCAGGAGCCGACGATTCAGCGGTCGTTCGTCGCGGCCACGAAAACGCGGCGCAAACAGCAGATCGAGTTAGTGACCAAAGCTCTGCAGGAGGAGGAAGACAAACTGCGGGAGGAGAGGGTGAGTGCTGTCATAGGAGTTGCAGTCTTTGATTGGTTCGTGTGTTCAACAGGAATGTTACCGCATCTCCGCAGTGCCCGTCCACTTGCAGGCCGCCTACGAGCCCGCGCTCTTCCACACAGTGGAAGAACACGAGGAGGACGAGGACGAGGAGCGGGCGCCGCAACACAACATTCAGGTCTGTGTTTGCGTTCACTTCCGGTCTCTGACTTCCTTTCGTCCGACAGTTGGCGCAATCGGTGTTCCCGTCGAGTCTGTGTTCGGCGGCCGTCACGATCATCAACCTGTTGGACGACCCGCAGGTGAACGCCGAGGGGTCGGCCGTCTACGAGGTGGCCTACAAAGTGGTCTGGCACTGTCTGGTCGAGGACTCGGCGCTCTTCCTGCGCCACTTCCTCGAACGCCTCACTCGCGACAAACAGTACGACATCTTTCAGATTCTTCGCCGACTGATTCGCTTCGTGCCGCGACTTCCCGCGCAGGCGGCCTTCACGCTCTACAACTACCTGATCGGGTTCGTCATGTTTCACGTGCGGGCGCCGGTAGAGTCGTCGCAGGAAGTCATAGCGACCG